TTAAATGCTTCCTTTGACTACCCTCATATCCAAGGAATGCCGAGTTTGTTTATAATGAATGAATCTGCCCCCCTTAATTGTAGCTCGGAATGCGAAACTGGAAGAAAATGGAACAAGCGACGTGGAAGTAATGCTCGAAAGAATCGACCCGCCGACTGCAATCCAGTCGGGTACATCCAAGTGTTGAAATTAAATCCTTTTGTCTTCGCGAACGATGCTTTCAACTCAGAAGTTGATTTTTCTACGTCGACGATAAGAATTGCGATACTCATCAAGATTTGTCTTGGCGTTGAGTTTATTTTAATATAAATTTGAGTTGCGGATGCTTTTGACAGTTCGTATTCTGGAATTTAACATCAGCCAACATTTAAATACCGCCGCCAAAGTTACCAGCTAGGAAGGAGTATTAGAGAGAAGAGTTTTAATGCTTGAACCAGTGCGATTCAGTCAAAATTTTGGTAGCTGTTACAGTATTAGCTTCTAGCAAGAGTTCACAAATTTATCTTAAAAAGAAATCTGTCCTTTATGACACTTCAAAGTTATAAAAAAACTACTATTAGAGCTGCTTGTAAAAGCAAAATTTGTGCATTAAAACTATTTTCCTAGGAATTGTCGTCAATCGATTCTATGATTCCGATAGACATAAACGATTCTAGCCTTTACTTAAAGTGTGACATTTACATTTAGACAAGGGCGGATCTGTTTTGAGGTGGATGTAAAAGGGAGCAAGCAATTTTTTTCTGAAATTACCTTCAGTACAACTCACATTAGGTGTAGATCCCTAGATCTGGACGAGGTCCGGAACATTTTCAAAATTGCAAAAATTCCTATTTTATCCGAGTGTTTTACTTATATCTTAGAACCAATGCATTTCGGAAGAATATTGAAGAGGAAAAAAACTTTTAGAATTGAATATACTGTAAGTTTAAAATAGCAAAATAGCAATAATTGATAAAAAAAAAGGCAAAATAATCCAGTTTCTTAGATAGTTTTTTTAAAATGTTTTAATTACTCCGAAGGCATTCTAGTTTTGGTAAAAAAAAACTTTAGAGTTCAATGAAACAACACACCAAATTTCAAAAAATATATTTGAATTTTCTAAATGTTGCACAGCCTCAAATAAAGCATCTAGATACTTGGAGAAATTTTTCACATAGAAAAGACCGCTCAACCTTTCAAATGGTTTTTAAAAAGTTGAAATTTGTTTGATTAGGACGGCCAAAGTAAATTTTTAAACACTTTTTTTTAGTTGTAAACAATTAAATTACATTTATCAATTTGCAATTTAGTTTTTTTCAAAGATTATAATTTTAATGTACTATTATTTCTTAATTTTATCTGTATTGAACAAAAAAAATTTACAAATATTTTTTTTAATTTGTTTAAACAAAAATTATTTAAATAATAATTGTAATAATTATAACTAAATATATTCATATTCAGTGTTGAAATATATACGTAAACAAATTTTTTCATTAAAAAAATGCAATAGCGTAGGGTAAAATATACAGTATATTTAATGCATAAACTGTTTATAACAAAATATGAGCAAATTAGACAATTGGCATTAGGATATCGATTTCCTTGGCTCGCGAGACATCCAATTAAAAAAAAAGATCGAAATTGGTCCATTAGAAGCCGAGATAATGCAATTTTTTTCGTACCTTCGCATTTTGAACCTCCGAATTCAGTCTCGGAGCGAAAGCCCCCTCCCCACTTTTCGTGTTTTGAGTCACTTTTCGCGCGTGCGAACGACAGCTTTTCCGCTAATTTATTTATGTAGCCGATCACTTATGGATATGAAAATTTTTTCCAGCTTAGAACTCGAAAAAACGAAGCCACTGGATCAAAGATTATTGCTAAATTGTTTATAAATTAACGGTAAATGCCGATAAACTTTGACCGCTTATATCTCGAGAACAAATAAACGGAATTTAACTTTTTTTAGAAAGAAGCGTCTTTTTTATAAATCTTTTTAAAAATTATAATTTTTGATAAAACGAAATTGCAAACTGATAAATGTAATCTAATTGTTTAAAAATAAAAAACTTCAAAAATCATTTGAAAGGTCGAGCGGTCTTTTCTATGTGAAAAAATTTTCCAAGTATCTAGATGCTTTATTTGAGGCTGTGCAACATTTTGAAAATTCGAAAAAATTTTTTCAAAATTTGGTTAAAAAAATTATTTTGCGAAAACTATCTAACCGATTTTAATGAAATTTAATGTGTTGTTTTATTATACTCTAAAGTTTTTTTTTACGAAAATTAGAATGCCCTCGGAGCATTTTGTCTTTTTTTTTTCATCAATTATTGCTATTTTGCAACATCGGTAATAAATTTTAACATTTTTAAAAATTCAATTCTAAAACTTTTTTTCTCTTCAATATTCTTCCAAAATGCATAGGTTCCAAGATATAAATAAAAAACTCAGTTAAAATAGGTATTTTTTTTAATGTTTTAAACATTGTTGCAATTTTGAAAATGTTCCGGACCTCGTCCAGATCTAGGAATCTACACTTTTATTAAGTGAGTTGTACTGAAGGTATTCCAGCAAAAATTAGCTTGCCCGTCTTACATCCAAGAAGTGGGATATTTCGACAGATCCGCCCTGGTGTAATTGTCGTTTTTTTCCGATTAAATCCAGATAAATCCAGACTTTTACTAAGCGAATAGCCACTATAATTGGCTGTTGTTGGTACTGACAACTCAGCAACATAATAAGATCGATCGAATGACATGACAGAATTACCAATGGAAATAAACGTTCTCAATCCTGAAGCTTCAATAAAAGTAATTATGCTATCTATTGATTTTATTTTGTAAGTGTTTTGTGTTTATATGTATGTATAACATAGATTTCTTTTATTATTTTAATTAAAACTTCATTTCCTGAACTTTAAATTATCACATAACAAACCGTATGAAGGCTTTAAACTCTATACATATAATTCCTCCAAACTTTTTGTAAATGTTAAAGATACTTTTCCTCAAATGGAAAACGTCAAAATCTATTTTAGTCACTTAGTATTACAGATAACTTAATTATTTGGATAATCATTAAAACATATTTAAATTAAATAAGAAATTGTATCTATTTATATCATTTAGATATATTTAAAATAAAACAAATTTAACAGACCACTACACTGTAAATCGATCTGAGTGAAAACAGAAAATCCATTGAGTGAAATTATTGAGTACTTACATTTTCAATCAAAATTGGGCATTTTGATAATTTTACACATTTTTGATAACATTTGAACTATGAGTTTCACTCATAAAATTTTAGTTGTACCTACTACTCATACCAATAGAGAAAATTTCACTCAATCGGGTTTAGACAGAAACCGGATAGAAATTGAGTGAAATTGAATGAAAATAAGTCCAATTTTTCTTACAGTGTATATTGCGAGGATAATGTCATAGTTTTGTAAAGTTAAATAGATTAATATACTGATTGGGATGTTTTCATTTCAGAAATTTGAAAAAATTATATTTACGTATATACATATATTTGTATTTACCTAAATCATCTTTCAGTCTTCAATAATGACGCTTTTTAAATTTCTATGTGTTATTATATTGTTGTTCAAAGCTTTTCTGATATCTGATAAAGCCATCTTATATTGACAGGTGCAAGAAATAGCCATGCTAGAGTTTTAACCTCAGCATAGTTAAAGAAGTAAAAAATTGTTAACGAACATAATGAATTAAAGTTGAAAGATGAACTCGGTAAAGACAAATAAAAAGGCTGATATTAATACTGAGAATCCTAAAGAATAACTTCAAATGAAAAAAAAAATTCTATCGTGAATATAAAGATCTTGTATGATACAGATACATATAACATTGGAAATAACTTGAATAACTGCCATGAATATGGTGAAAATTGTTTCAAAATACAACTTACTTTATTAAAAGCCATACTAGATGCATAGAAACTATGTAGATACCCCTATGGATAAAGAAAAATAAAAAAAGATTGATCAGAAAAGATTTAACCATCATCTTCACCATCACCTCTTTCTGTGGCCAATATTCCCGGATATACAAGTGAAATAGTCAGAGATTTAAAAAGCTATAGGTATTTATATAATCTTAGAAATGTAATTTCTTGTCAGTTGTAAAGAGTAATTATTGAATTTATTCAAAGAATTTTTGTAGTTTCAAGTGTAAAGGTGTTCAACTTTGTATTCCACGCATCAAAGTGTTTAATTTTTGAAAAATTAACTGTTGAAACCAAAATATTGTCAAGGAAACAACGCTGGAACATTTTGCTTCACTTCACTTCTTTGTTTGTGGAAAATCCTTAATCGATTTAATGGTGAAACCAATATGGCCACTCGAGGAGTGTCCATTTTGGATTCGTCTCAAATGGAAATTCCACAACAGCAATCGTACCAATATTAAAGCTTTTTTCTTTACCAATTTTTTAGTTTTAAACAGATTGTTGAAGAGATTGTCACAATTCGTTATATTTGTGCATCCCTTTTATGTCGTTACTTCGTCAATTCATTGTTCTGGGTTGAACCTACCAACTTTTATAGTAAAAACCAACCATAGACTTATAGTTTGGGCCAGACTAACGTAAAAGCAATAACAGACACGTACTGGTCTATTTAAAAATAAAAAAAATTGTTAAGGATTTGATTAAAATTGGAAACATTGAATAAATATGAAAGGTAGGTGATTAAAAATCGGCAAAATTGGCCAATCAATTAGAAACAGTTCTTGACAAATTTATTGAAACTTGCCATTATTTACGCATTACCTGAACCAATATAACTTGGCCAAGTTCCTGATCAATTTATTGGGTCAAAATTTGATAAACATAAAACAGTTTTAGACTTCTTTGTCTGTGGGAAATCCTCAATCGATTTGGTATCAGGAAACCAAAATGGCCACCGCTGAGCGTCCATTTCGAAGTTTCCCCAAACAACAGGAATTTGAAAATTCCACCGCGGTGATATTAAAATTAGAGGTGATGAAAAAACTACTCACCGGTGTACTTGAGGTTGGCGGTGACGGCACTTAACTTGTAATTGGATGAGTTGGAAGCCATGGCGACGGCGGCGAAGGCAGCAGGAGTCTCTGGAAGCTGTGTGCAGCGTCTAAGCGACCAAGCCGACAGCCCTCCGGAGGTCACGGAGGATGACCTATTTCGTGGCACGGCGCGCGCACGGTGACGTCAGCAGGAGGCCCGTCTCCAAGGGTGGAGCCAGCCCGGAAGGGTTGAACCGCGTAGGCGGTGGTTCGGATTTTTGTTACAAACTACGTTTTTCCTGGGAGTTGGAGCGACATTTTTCGTGGAAGAGCGAGTAAAATCGAACGGCGCCACCAGGTTGCCTAAATCTTTGTCATAAATATACATATATGTATTCTGCTAATAAAGACATTATTATTATTATTATTTTTAGCCCTATACGGCGGTGAGTATTCGTGTGACGAAAAAAAACCGCTGAAACTTGCACGGGGAATATTAGTAAACAAAAAGAATTCATTAATATAGGTTACGTCATAATTTTAGCCATATTTTAAGTTGAAACATAACCTATAAACAGTTAAGGCTCAATTTCAGTATGAAGTGGATTTTTTTGTAATAATACACCACCAGGGGACATAGTAGGTAGAAGGAAAAAATAAAAAACTAAATATAGTCAAGTATATACTTAAAAAAAAACCGGGGGGAGGTGACTTTCTCCCGTAAAAATTGTGGGGGTATTTCATAAAACGTTTTTCTTATTAACGTTAAATTTCCGAGATACAAGAGGTTGAAATTGTTAGACTGAAAGGGTCCTTCTTAATTATCTTTCAATCGGCTAGAGATAAAAACGTAAAAAATTGTACTCGAATAAATATCAACTGCAAGAAAAACGTGCAAATAATTTTATTTCCACTAGCAGTGGCGCACTATGAACGATTGGAATTACTTTAGTGTCAAAGTCATAGAACTCTGCATAAAAAAAGGTTTAGCAAGCGGTATTTTCAAGGTAAAGGGATTACTTTTTAGGGAAAAATATCGAAAATGCGCTCGATTTATTAGGCTGCCTTCAGTGAACGTTTAATCCTCGATTTTTTCAATTTTTTTCGAATTTTTTGAATGCCACTATTTTTCCTCATCTGACTATTAAAAAATACAATTTTTTCAGAAAGAGATTAAAAAATCTTCAATTTCTATTTTGGTAAAATTTATTTGACCTATTATATCTTAAGTGATTGGCATTCGAAAAGTTCATAAATTTAGTTTCTAACAGGGTTATATCACATTAATTTTCCGTTTTCATTCAAGTTCATTTAAAAATATATTTTTATTAAAGTATACCTACATTAAATGATGGATAATTTATTAAAGTTTTATACTGAAATACACAAATGTTTGGTTTTTAAAGATTTTTTTGGACTTCACTTAATTGTTATTTAAAAGGTAAATTTCAAAATTTTAAACTTTTCATGGAACTTTTTTCTTGTTTGTGTGATAAATTAAATTATACGGGACTTCATTTTTCAGAGTAATATAATGTCTCTAATTGAACGGTAATTGTAACTCAAGTATGACTTCGAGTAGAAAATGCATTCATACAGATTGGATGAACCTATTCTCAAAATTAGAAAAATAAAAATAATATACTCAGAAATATACATTTTCCCCAATATAACCAGTTTATCTGTAAAGTGATTTAATCCAAATGTAGTATCCTTATATCCAAATCGGNCGGAGCTTTAAAGCTCTGTACCGGCCAAACTATCCATTTTTGAGCTTTGTGGCCATTGAGACAATTGACCAGTATGATGAACTCTATCACATATCAAAAATTCAGCAAATTTGACCGGGACCCAATTTCCATAAGATTTGTGCGGGGTCCTTTCCGAGATACAAGGGGTTGAAATTGTTAGATTGAAAGGGTTCTTCTTAATTTTCTTTCAATCGGCTAGAGATAAAAACGTAAAAATGTGTACAAGATAAATATCAACTGCAAGAAAAACGTGTAAATAATTTTATTCTCAATAGCAGTGGCGTGGATACGGATGGTTTAATTAATGTAATTTAAGGGAAAATATGTTAAAAGTCAAAAAGTTTTTAAAGATCTTAAGAGCTTTGCAAACAGCAGAGGATAATATAAAAAAAGGTATACTAGTACGAAACTTGATAGGATGTTCAGAAAATAACCAAACTTTTTTTTGTTTACGCACTAATGGAGATATTTAGTGCGATTGGCAGCATTGCTTTGTGTATAACCTCCTTTGTAAATACATATTTTTTTATTGTTGCTATCTCATTTAATTTTCGTGATATTGTTATTTGAGTGGAACGTGTTTAAGTGTTAGTGACGATTTCTGAAATGTGCGATTTTCTAGAACAACGAACAACGTAAAATTTTTCGTGACTGAGGAAAACTTCTACGGAAACGTTTCAACTTTTGAATCAAGCTTACGGAGATGATGCTCTGGGTCGTATGTAATGTTGCGAATGGTTTTCACGATTTAGGACTAATCGTCAGTCAGTTGAAGATTATTATCTTCGACCTTCCACTTCAACTGATGACTTCCATGTTAAGAAAGTCAAAGATCTGGTGCATGCAAATCACGTTTGGCTATCAGAAAAATTGCAGAAGAGGTTAGCTCGTCAATTGGATCATGCCATGAAATTTTGACGGAAAAATTTAACATGCATCGAGTTGCAGCAAAATTGGTTCCTTGTTTGATGACCGAACAACAGAAAGAGAATCGTGTGGACATTTGTCGCTAACTCCTTGAATGATCCAATGACGATGAAACATTCATTCAAAGGATCATAACGGGAGACGAAAGCTAGGTTTACGGCTGCGACATTGCAACAAAAGTTCGGCCATCATGCACAATGGATTGACAAAGGATCTTCACGCCCGCGCCCCAGGAAGGCACGTCAGTCTCGATTCAATGTCAAAGTGATGTTCAACTGTTTCATTCGACTTTAATGGAATTGTGCATTTTGAATTCTTGCTCTAATGTGAAACAGTGAACCAGGTGTACGAGTAATATCAAGGCGATTTAGAACGGTTACGTGAAAAATTCCGCAAAAAGAGACCAGAGTTGTGGCTAGACAACTCATGGTTCTTGCTCCATAACGATGTGTCCGCACACTCAGCTTTATCAGTTCATCAGTTTTGTGCAGAAATCAGATTACTGTCTTCCCTCACCCTCCTTACTCGCCAGATCTGACTCCTTGCGATTTTTTCTTATTTCCGAAATTAAAATCAGTGCTGAAAAGACGACGTTTTCAAATTATGACAAACTATGACATCAAAGCAAATTCGTCACAGACTTTAAAGCCGATTTGAAATGAAACTATCCAGAACTGTTTTGTAAAATTGAAACACCGCTGGAAAAAGTGTGTGATTAGGGAAGGGGAGTATGTACTTTGAAGGAGACAAGGACATATATAAAATGTATAATAAAGTTTAAAAAAATAAAGTTAGGTTATTTTCTGAACAGACTTCGTATGTATAAACATATTGTGGGAAATAGTTATTCTCCTGGTACACTAATCTTAGTATTCAGGTGCCATTAATTCTAATTTAAAGAAGGAATTTTCTTTTTTTAATTAAAATTTTCATACACGTATAAGTCCACGAAAATTTCAAAGAAAAAGTTCTCAAAATACAGAAGTACCCAAAATGTAGACGTAAACATCCAAACACATGTATTTAGACCTGCTGAAAACATTGTTCGACCTGCTGAAAAAATAGGTATCTCCTCCTCAAGATTTAACTAAAAACACATTTAAAAAATGAATACTTGAAAGGATGTGAAAAATAATTTGTGATCTATAGCTGTGACTAAAAATTTTAGAATCGAGATTTAAAAAAAATGTTTTCGAATGTGATGGATTTTAGCATTAACATTTTGTATGTTCTACCCATGTGAGGTTCCAAACTCAAATTTCATGATAACATAGCACATAGAGCACATACATTGCTTCTCAGATGTAATGCAAAAATTCGTATTTTATTTTGTATTACGTTTTCACAAAAACACGCCAATTAATAAATAGGAATTGTCGTTTTGTCACGTTACTTAAAACTTTGCGCTATGTTTTATAAACCTATGACATCATCGGCTTGTTTTTAAATAGCACTACCTAATTTTTTAAGCATAAATGGATAGCCCTTTTGAAGGGAAATGCGTTTGGCCTACTTTTTTTTTTCAGGTGCGAAGAAAAAGCCAACGATTGGAATGGACATGGTTTAAAATTACAACAAAAGTAGGTATCACATACGAGAACAGTGCCACAGCAAAAAATGTGTTTTGGTTGATTGTAGGTAGGTATAAATTTTAATGTAGATTGGGTAGGTTCACCCGATTACAGCATTGTTTTGAAAACGACAGTTAGCGAATGCAGTAGTGCCTCATATCATTGTGACAGTTACAAATACTTTACATTACGATGGTGTTGCGTTTAACTGAGAAACAAAGAATTTAAATCCTAATTATGGTTGGATGCGGAGACAGGATCCGTAGTTATGATGTCAATTATTCAATGCCAAGTATCCAGAACAACCAATACCTCCGTCTACAGTACGCAGATTAGTACACAAATTTGAAGACGCTGGACATACTAGAGATCTGTCTAGATCCGGAAGGCCAACGACGGTGACGCTAAATGATAGGCAAAATGTTATGTTTAGCTGTCACTGAAAATCCACACACTGCCGTTCGTCTTATCGATGAAAACGCCATCGTATCAATACACAAAAACCTCAACCAAAACACAAAACATCTACAAATTCCCAATTTTTGCTGTGGCACTGTTCTGGCATCAGTTTGTGATACCTACTTTACTTTTGTTGTTATTTTAAACAATGTCCAATCCAATCGTTGGCTTTTTTCGCTCCTGTCAAAGTAAAGTATTCCAAACCTTATATTGACGTATTTCCTTTCAGAAGGGCTATCCATTTATGTTTAAAAAATTAGGTACTGCTACTTAAAAAAAATTCGATACCTCATAGGTTTATGAAACACAGCGCAAAAAAGGTTTAAACAACGTGACAAAACGACAATTCCTATTTACTAATTGACGCATTTTTGTGAAAACG